AGTGAGGGTGGTCGAACAGAAAGGCATCTTCATCGGTGAAGGAGATTTTATTTGGGGTTGGCTCTGACGCCGGCCTGCTATCGGCGTGCATCACCCTCTGTCCTGCGTAATAGGCTTGTCGGGCATAGGCCTTGGTCTGCCTCCTGGAAAGGAGGGATTCACCTCGGCTGGTGTTGACGCGCCGAGTTGGGTAGTCTGCTTGGTCGGATCCTGGGCGCAGGGACCGGTCTCTCTTCCTGCCCCTTGAGGTGCCGGCCTCGTCTTGGTGGGCGGGGCAGAAGGTCATGATCTCGTGTGGGCCGCCCTGCTGCGGCTTCTTCCTTCGGGGGTTCTTGTCGGCATCCTCGTCACTGTCTGGGCCTTCTTCAAAACGGCCTCCCTTCTTTCTCTTTTCGCCTGAGTGGGTGAACCTCTTGAGCTGCGGATCATCGATCAACTTAAACAGTGCAGAGATCAGATTCCTGCACTGGTTGGTGTTGTGCCCATGTGCCTTGTGGTAGGTGCAGTAGCGGGTTTTGTTCACCTTGTCTTTGTCAGTGAACATCGGCTTTGGGTCCGGCAGTAGTCCCTTCGCCTTGATCTCTTCATAAATTGCTGCAGCACCCACGGAGAAGACGCTCTGGTAGCTTTCTTTCAGCTCTTCGGCCTTTTGTCTCCGCAGGGCTCGAACCTCAGCGAACGATTTACTCGGCTTCCCTGACTTTTCCTCCTTGACTTTGCTCTTGGCCGGCACGGTATCGAAGGTTGGGATAGACGAGGACTCCTCCGCCATGATGTAATCCTGGGCTCGGGTAAGGAACTCCTGATAAGTGGTCGGCTTGTTCTAACACAGGGACCATTTAAATAACGTCTTCGGTCTTAGGCCGCCCTGAGCGGTGATCAATAGTGCGTCAGGGTGGCACCGCTCCATGTTTTGAACTCGGTCGTTGAACCGAGCGATGTAATCTTTCAGACTTTCATCCTCTCCTTGGACGATATTAGCAATAGATTTCTTGGGGGACAAACCCATCTGGGACCCGATGAAGTGTGATCGGAATCCCGACCTGAGCTGTCCCCATGAGGAGATGGAATGAGGGTACAGGGAATGGTACCACCTTTGTGCTTTCGGCCCCAGCGTTAAAGAGAACATACGACAGCGCAGGGCGTCTGTTGCACCGTGCATATCCATCCAAGAGGTGTACAGGCCGATGTGGGAGTCGAGATCCGAACTCCCATCGTAGAGGCCGAGCTGCGACACCTTTATCTTCTTCGGGACGGCTTCCTGTAAGATGTCGGGGGAGAGAGCTGAAGCGTTGTCCGCAACTCGGGGAGTCGGCCACGCGTAAGATTGCGGATAGGGAGGGAGCAATAGCTCACTCCTGGAGGGGTGCCGGCCCTCCAGTTCGGCGATTCTGCGCTTAAGGGCCGCGACCTCGTCAGTGTCGAGCCCTATGGCTTTGCCTCGTTCGATGACCTCCCGGAGGTCGTGATTGGCCTGGCTCTTGTCACCCAGGCGCTGGTGGACAGGACGGCGGACGATTTGGTGGCTGTGCTCCGGACGGCTTTCACCCGTCTGTTCGGTAGGTGCCCGCCTGGTGCTTTTCTCACGGCGGTTTCGGGCCTCAAGGTTGGGTGATTGGGCCGTAGTTTTGGATCTCGTCGGGTTATTCTTCTGCCCCCCGACCCCTTTTTCTGAGGTATGAAGTAGGGTGTTGTCGAGTTTTCCGTGGGGACCGCAGTGTTCGTCCCGGCCGCCTGGCTTGCGAGCGCCTTTGCGAAGACCCCCTCGAGGGCCTTGAGGACGTCAGGGTGCTGCATGGCCGCGGCGAAAGTGGGAACTGGCGGGACAGGGGCTATGGACCCTTGCTGAGCTCGGTGGGAGGTCTCCCTGCCGTTGTGTCTGCGAGACTGGGAGTCGGACTGCTGGGTGGAGTCATCGTGGCCTGACGAAGCCATTTTGAGTAGTTTTCGGAAGCGAAAAGTGGGAAAAAGATGAATGCGATGTGGAGTTCCACAAGATCGAAAAATTGACACCAAGTAACTTATGGGGCCCTTCTTCTAACGCAAAATGTTGACGGGCGTTTCCGATCAACGGTCAAAAGATATATAATGAAAAGGTGATGAGGAAAAGACAAAGAAATACGATTTAATTATGGTTTTATTATCAGATCACTGGGTCGGCCTCTCGTACGAGGTCGGCACTTGTCATATCCTTACAAATTCTTACCGAGATTTATTACAAGTCTAGAGAGAGAAAGTAGAGAGAGAGTCTGAAAGTTGGAGATTCAACAACCTAAAATAAATGTTCAAGACTTCTATTTATAGGGTTCTTAAATGTGATACTGTTAGGGTACTGTTCGTGGGTCTTGTCGTACAGTAACTCGGCAAGACAGGCCGGCGTTTCTCTGACTGATTGGGAGTGATTTTGAGATCTTCCAATCATTACCTGCAACGCATTTAATGTTGGCATGGGCCACATTTAATGCGGTCATGCTCCTCGGCCGAGCTAGACGTCCTAGACCTGCAGGCTAGTCTGGGACGTCCCATCGGCAATCATTGGTTGACAAGTGACCTTATTTAATTGCTTCCGGGATCTTTAACCCTTACGAGGGCCAAGGAGGTAGGGTCCCGAGCCGGACTTTGACAGTCTGCCCGTCCTCCGGTCTTCCAGACCCCATATCCTGAGTCGGTCGGCTCCCTAACGGGAGCGCCGAGTTGCGGACCTCGGGGTATGACGTTGTCCGCCACTCCAGTTGACTTTGACTAATCCTCAGATCGGCACCTGCTAATTGACGTTGTAACCGGCCCCACTGGCCGGGCCGGCCTCGCCCGGTTCCCGGTCTCTCGGATCGTTACCTTTATGGGAGCCCGATCTGGATATCAACACGCGTGTAAGTAATAGATAAAGAAGAGTCAGGGTCAGCCTTTATCGTACGTTGACATGTTTTTAACGAAATCAATTTTTAGTCAGATACAATTATATGTCGTTTGTTTCGCGTGTAAGTAAAAGAAAATAGTTAAAAATATTAGTTTGTGGAACAACGAGTTGCCCAGTTATCAAACAAATAATGTTGATTATTTTTTTTCATGAGGATCATTTTGTTATTTGACAATTTCCCTTACGAATTATCACTCTTTTATTTATTAGTACATTTTAATTTATAATATTCCCCAAAATAAATACAGTTCATGCATCGCACGGGTTACGTAGTAGTTGAGAGAAAAACAATTGATGGTATATCCTCTGCATAGATCCGTAATGATGAACAAATGTGTAAAATGTTAAGCATCTTTTATCAATTCAATCCCATAAAACTCTTTCTTTTACACATCTTGGTGATACAAGAAAAGCAATTGATGGTATATCCTCTGCATAGATCCATAATGATGAACAAATGTGTAAAATGTTAAGCATCTTTTATCAATTCAATCCCATAAAACTCTTTCTTTTACACATCTTGATTTCTCACTTCATACAATATCTCAATCGTAATTCTACAATGATAAATACTTATTAATAATAAATACCGTAAATCTAGTTTTTAATGAACCACATGTTTCTCATTTACTTTTAATTAATGTTATACTTTCACGTTTTTAATTCAATCCCACAAAACTCTTCCTTTTACACATCTTATGATCTTAATGCATCATTTCATCCAAAATCTCAATTTTACTTTTACAATAATAAACATTTATATTAATAATAAATACTGTAAGCCTAATTTTTAATGGGGAATTTTTTGTACAAGGCCCAACTTTTTTAAATTGAATCAATCTAAGGTCTTAATTTTATTCTTTCAATATAAAAGACTTATATTTTAGAATATTCCCAATTTGAGGCTCACCCATTCAATATAAAACTTACATTTTAAAATATTCTCAATTTAAGGCTCATTCATTGTTCTATGACTCAACTAACTTTACTTTTTGACATAGATATGTGAACCAACTTAACTTTATTTTATGATATTGTTATGTGAATAAAAATATCTTTTAATTTATATTTTACGTACTTGCAATAAAAAATAATTAATATCTTTAGAAAAATTTCCTTAATAAGAAATGAAACTAGATAAGTTATATTTATGCAAAAGCCTAATAATGATTATTTTAAAAAAATTAGTAAGTGAATTTGAAAAATATGTAATGAAAATACTATTTTTATTAATAACCTAGATATGTAATAAAACTAAAAAGTAATATTTAAATACTCCGTACAAAATTATATCTTTTTTAGCCAACAATCGCACTGTAGCGCCTCGTTCGTTTATTAGATTTTTTTGAATATTATATTATTATTTAATTTATTCTTTTGTTTTATATTATTTGCTCGTTTATTTGATTTCTCGAGTGTATTGCTTTATTTGTCTATCTATTTGAGTTTGTTTAGCTTGGGTCGTTTGCCGTTAATTTCAATAATATTACTTAGTTGTCCTCGTCTAAATAATCAATTAATTAAATAATTTTTGTAGATGTTCTCGTTTACTTAAATTATTTTTAAAATTATAATTTTCCATCGTCAATTGAGGGTTCGTTCGTAAATCCTTGGTGCATTTATGTAGATATTTCGGGCTTTTTCCAAGCTAGACTTGAGATCGATATTCGGCCTATTTTGGCTATTTATTTCGGCTCGTTTGGAAATAAATTAAAACGGGCCCAATTATCTTCAAGCAAACCCTATTAAATCGGGCTTTTTTTTTATTTTATCTCGTCCGCAAACCTTTTCGCACCCAATCCCTCATCTCCTTCCTCTTCAATTTCCCGTCGTCTCCCCTCCCTTCTCGGCAGAGACGAGCATCAACTATCCCAGCGAGTTCGAACTCACTCCGACCGGTGAGATTTTATCCCTGTCCGGCGATTTACCGAGCACGCCATCACGAGACCGAACCTTGAGCAGCAGCGGCAGCCTTTCGGGCCCGTGCGGGAAGAGCAGCGGCACCGCGTCGATCGTCCTCGGCACCCGACCTTGTCCGACGAGCCGAAGCCCCTGTCCGCGGCTGAAGGAGACCCTCGGAGCCGAGAACCGCTTAACCGAGTCCTTGCTCTTTTCTTAAGCCGAGAGAGGTATTTTAGCCAACCGAGCTCTTTTCTTTTTATGTTCGTGTTGCTGAGGGTTAAGTTGAGACGAAAACGTGATTAATCATGTTTTAACTTAGATGAAATGAAGAAGAATGAGTACTATTTCATGTGCGTTTGGCCAAATTGTTAAGTGATTAATATGCTGAACATTATGAGGTTATTATGCTAAAATTGGAGTGTTTTTAGATGCCTCCAGATCAGTTTAAATTGGCCTAAGCATGTTTTATATGATGGAGATATAGTAGGAAGAAAATGAGAAAGTTCTGAAGGATTTTTGGTGTGTTATATGGCCTCAGTTTGTTATATTACTGAATCTCTGTTATATGTAAGTTTACCATGCTTACAGTGAAGTATTATATACATTTCATATCACTTTTTAAAGCCTGGCATGAGTGGTTTAAGGTTTGAGAAAATGAAGAAGTTATAAGTTAGGTTGATATGTTTTGAACCTTGTTGTTTTGCCATGCTTTGCATTTGTTGTTGTCGTGCCTTTAACATATATTCTAAATGTATAAATTATTATATCAATTACTTTAACATTTGAATGTTTTAAATTACAAAAATATTCTTAAAATTTTTTTTATATGTATAATTTCACAGTAAAATTAATATATATAATTAAAAATATAATAAACTCTGTCCAATCGTGCACAACTACTAATTCGACCGGTCAACCACTGAACCACATATTACCTTAAATTAAACCGTACAAACTACCGCTGGAACAACGATGTATCTGGCTGACCCCCAACCTAAAAGATTCGTGTCTATTGGCCCCTCTTGGAGAAAACAGCAGAATCGACTTATCTTGGTCGAAAGCTCAGGTGCGTATGGGTTTTATTTGAAAATCGTTTATTTCTGTTTTTCATGGAAACTTCTCTCCAACTTTAATTGATATGGAAGGGATTAGAAACAATTTGCTTGTTATAGATAATTATCTGGGTTCTGTCCACTTCAATAAGCCTATCCACCAGAGAAATCTAAGGAAGTCTCAAATTCGTGGAGTGTGTGTAATGTTTATGCAGTTTTTAGCCCCCTTTTTCTTGATTTTAATACTTGTAATTTCTGAAGAAAAAAAAAATCTCATGTTTAGCTTCTATATAGCTGCGTGAAATACTGTAAGAAACTTCATTAAGCTGCTTTTTTTGGGGGGATGTTATTGTCATTTGGGTGTATACTGATCATCTTTATTTTTCCTGTTCTCGTATTTCAGTTTGTGATGCTCAGTTTGAGGTATTCTCTGGCTACCGTTGGTGTAGGGTTGGATATAGCTCGACTCGGGAAAAACCGGTATCCCTGTAGAGTGGTACGCATAATTTGGGATATATAATACAGCTCTGTCTCTCTCTCTCTCTCTCTCTGGCTCTATGTGTGCAATCTTTATTGGAAGGGTTGGATTATAATGTGATAATTGCTATGAATACCTGCAAATTGATTGTCCTGTTTCTTCTTGTGTGTTTCAGCTAATTGTCACCTCAAGGTGCTCGCTAATTGATATTTTTGTTTAGGAATGTGGTGCTAAAGGTCCTCGACCAAGGTACCCTCGTGTATGGAAAACCAAAAAGAAAATAGGGACCATTTCAAAATCCCTGAAGCTCGTTGAATGTGTAAGCTCCATTATCCAGCTGTGTCAATGTCTAATTCTAGAGTAAAAAGTGGCAGATGATTACAAAACGCTATTTAGGCTGACTTGATTACTAATCTACAGTTGCCGTTTTTAAAATATTATTGTACTTGCATTTTTCTTACGAAATGCCCTTTTATTGTGGGTGAAATTATAAATAGATGAGGGTATTTGTAGTATTGGAAAATAGCTAGGGTTTCTTTTGGATCAGGCTAAATCCCAGGGTATTTATGCTCGAATTTGTTCCCTTTGCTCGAGAATGATGCCTTGAATAAGAACTTTTAATTTATTTCTACTATCCTTACTAGATTAAGGGATTATCAAATGTGAAAGAGGAAGTGTATGGTGCTCTTGATTCCTTCATTGCCTGGGAATTAGAGTTTCCGTTGATTACAGTGAAGAAAGCTATAAAAAGCCTCGAGCATGAAAAGGAGTGGAAAAGGATAATTCAGGTACACACGCACACAAATCCTCGTTGTATATTTATTTTTCGTTAATTTAGATTGAATATAAGTGATATTATCTTGCACATTGCATAAGACAGGTGACAAAATGGATGCTAAGCAAGGGACAAGGAAGAACTATGGGAAGCTATTACATTTTGCTGAATGCTTTGGCTGAGGATGGGCGGGTTGATGAGGCTGAGGAACTTTGGCAAACATTGTTTTCTCAGAACTTGGAAAGTATGCCGCGTATGTTCTTCGAAAAAATGATTTCTGTGTACAGTCAAAAGGAAATGCATGACAAGATGTTTGAGGTATAACATTCCCTTCTTTCAGTCATCCATTGTCTGATGATACATGCATATGATAACAATGTTGCATATTATATACTCTTTCCTTTTTCTAATCTAACACTTTCACTTCTTTTCTCAGTTGGAAATTGGCCTTGCTCTTTCTTTCTTTATTTCTTTTCTTTTTCTTTGTTTCTCCCAATCTGTGGAGGACATTTCATATTTATTATCTGGATTTTGATAGGAGCTGTCTTGAAACATGTGATATATTTTAGGGACACCTTGAATTGTGGCCTGATTCCTCATAGGAGCCACTGTCTTCCAAAATTATAGATACGCCTTTGACTTCAATTTCTCTTTCTGTAAATTGCATCCTCAAGAGAGGTTATTAGCTACAATCCTCAGGAGGGTGTTTAACTTTGAAAAAAACCAGAGTTTATTTAATTTGCTATAACTCAGGGGTCACCCGTTTCTATTTTGGGGATTAATTACACAATGACCTTCTGAGTTTTAGTCTAATTATTAAAAATAAAAAAGAATATTGAAAATACAAATACATTGAGGTTTGCATTTAGTTAACAGGTTAGTCCCTTTTAACCCCCCTCTCGAGTGTGCACTTTTTGTAGGGTAGGTAAAGCATCTAGGGGTTTAATTTAAGAAGATTAATGGAATTTTTGTAATTAAGCTAAAGACCAAGTGTATTTTCCATCTTTAACCTATTTTAACATTTTTCTTTGTTTACTGCTCATATTGTCACTCAAACATGCCGTGACCTGTAGATATTTGCGGACATGGAAGAGCTTGGAATCCGGCCAACCGTGTCAATAGTCACCATGGTCGGTGATGTTTTCAAGAAGCTCGACATGTTGGACAAATACAAGAGATTACGGAAAAAATATCCCCCACCCAAATGGGAATACCGGTACATCAAGGGTAAGCGCGTGAAAGTAAAGATGCAGTATAATGATCAAAACGAGATTGTCAGTAGTGAGGTAAAGGGTTCTGATGTGGTCGATGGTGGTGAGTCATCGAAACTGCATGAGAATGGTGAGGTAAGTGATGGTGATTGTGCTGAGGAGGATAAATTGTATATGCCTGAGAATGTTGATTCCAATGTAACAGATTGAGTATTTTGTGTTATCATTTGTGGCTTCCAATTTATTTTTGCAGTTTTTTTTTTTCTTTCTTTTTTTCTTTTCATTTTTGCAAATTTATTGCAGTTGTCCTGATTGCAATAATATTATGAGCTCTACTCATTAGTAATATGTTGTAAATTTGAATTTGAATATGCTTATGAGTTCTACCTTGTGTTCCGCACTCACTTTCTCTTTTATCTTTTCTTCCCCACCCCCTCCCCCCCTACTCTATTTATATTGGACTTGTTTTAGTATCTAAGCTCATCTCTTTCCTTTCTTTCTTTATCCTCGTTCTTTTGCCAGGTGCCAAATTTATAGCTTTTCTTTTTCTTCTTCTTTATTTCTTTTGTTCTTTCCTTTCCTGATGGAGTGCTAGATCTAGGATAAAATTGCTCTTTCAGCTGCATAATATGACAACGTCAAGGCAAATTTTGGATGACAATTCCTTGCATCGACATTTCACGAATTCGACATTGTGCATGTCAGAAGTATCACACCACTCGGGGAGATTAATTAGTCTTGCATATCCAAGACTTGTTTATAAAGTTTTTTTGGTTTTGATTTTTTTTTTTTTTTGTTAATCATAATTATAGTTCTAAAAAAGTTGGTAGAGTTAAGTTTAAGTAGAATTTTGAGTTTCTATTAAAATGAAATGATTAGAGTTGATTTGATGTAAAAATAGAAGTAGATGATTGAAAGTGATGATTAGTCAAAATTATGTGAGTGCATTAATAATAAATTAAAATTGATGTAATGTGTATAGATGAATAATTGATATTATTTAATAATATTAATAATATTGATGATAGTGGTGTTGACTTAAATTTGAGTTAAAATTGATTTTTTTTTTCAGAAAAAAACTTATAAACAAGAACCCACTTAGCTTTTTATCCCGGTCCGAATTTTATCTTGAGGGCCACGGTCATAGCTACCAAGCACAAGATATCCCAGGATTCCTGAGGTAATCTTATCTAATCTTGTGAAACAAACAAGCCCCAGAATGTAATGAAAGTAAAAGAGAGAGGAAAACAATAAAGAAAAATGTAAGATGATGGTAAAAAACAGCAGATGCTGGATATCTCACGCGCAGACTTGTTGAAGTAGTTCAACACATTGTTGTACGTCAAACAGATTGTGGCACCGTTCGTGGTATTTCTGTGAGTCCTCGAAATGGAATGGCCAATTTTTCCGATTCGGTAGTATTCTTGCATCACTTGGATTATCAAGGGTATCGAACACTGGTGAGAGGATAATATTATCTTGAGAAAATTATCTTGTCTACAACCCTATATCATTTTATTAGGGTTAATTGCTATTTAAACCTTCATCTTTCAGCTTTTGTCAATTTAATCCAAATTTTTGGATGATTGCAATATAATCTTGACCTTGTTGTAATTTTGCAAAACGAGCCTTAAATTCGTCAGATGTCCGAAAAATGCCAGCGTGTCCGGCTAGTTATACCTATTTGGAACTTGCAGTTTACTGAGTGTGACTACATTAAATACGTGGAATTGTTAAAAAAAAAAATAAAGAACAACATTTTCAAGAATGAAAAGATTAACCCAAAATTCCCAAATCAAAATTCAAACCCCGTCCTCGCCACGTAAGTCTCCCGTCACTGTACCCTATCCAATTCTTAAGCCTCTCCCCGATCCATTATCACCCCTACGAAATCCTCCCGCCTGCCGCCTCCTTTCAGTGCTCGACGGCGGCGACGACGATGACCACCAATTTGGCTGAGTTAAGATGTACGCCGACGTGGTTGTAATCGGGGTCACCCATGTCTAGATTCCAGAGCACGTCGAGCTCCACGGTGAGGAGGTGGTTTTTTTTATTCCCATCTGTGGCAGTGCTCGTCCGGCCAAGGTGCCCTGCCGCGTAGGCTTTCCAGATCCAGGCGGAAGGGACGACGACAAAGGCCATGTCGTGGCCGGGGAGCACGCTTCGGTCTGGGACGACTATACTGATAACATGAATTCGGTCAAGAATGAGCAATCCAGACGGAAAGGGGATGAGGCTGGAGAAGAACGCCCAGCGGTGCTGTTGGTGAGGAGGGTCGCGCCGGCATCTTCCACCCTGGTGGTGTAGGCGATGAGGAGCTTTTGGCCGGGGAAGGTGAACTGGACGACCGTGTACGTTCTAGGAGGTGGAGATTTTTTTTGCCTTTTTTTTATTTTTATTTTGTTTTATTAAATTGGTGATTAGGATAAGTGTCTCATTTAATCAAGGGCACATTTTTATAATCTCTAATTTGTTGATTGGTTTAATTTGGGGCACATTTTCAAAATTCTGATTGAGGTGGATTTTTTATTTTATTTTTTTCCTACCTTGTTAATTACACATATGAGCCATGTTATCGCCACAAAGGTTTTCCAGTCATAAAAAGTTGTCGCTCAGCAAACAGATAGTCCAACTTGAATATAACCAGCCGGACACGTCGTCATTTTTTGAACGTCCGACGAATTTAAGCTTCATTTTTCAAAAGTACGACAAGGTCAAAATTATATTGCAATTATCCAAAAGTTTGGATTAAATTGCCAAAAGTTAAAAGATCAAGATTTAAATAGCAGATAGCCCTTTTTTATTATAAATATACACTAGTACAGAGCCCGTGCGATGCACGGGGTGTACAATTTTAAGGCTATTTATCCAGACTTATAATTATATACATGAATACAGAAAAATGTATGGGATATATATAGTACGTGACCCGTGCGAGGCACGGGATATATTTATTTGAGGAATACTATATTATAAGATGCAATATTCAATAAAAGTTTTATAATACGCAGGAAAATTATACAATAAGATAGTATTCGATAAACAAACAATCATATATTATTAAAGACCACCTTGTACACAACATTATTAGTTTGATTTTCCATACAATAATAATAAGATTTTTTGTAAAAAGATAAGAAGGAATTTTCAATCTACACAAACTTTAAACATTAGATGTATTTACGTAAATCAATGACTATATAGACAACTAAACCCTTCAATTTAGGTTTGACATCTACTTTATTATGGGTGACGTAAAATAAGGATTTAATTTTGACCGATTAAATCTTTATTCATAGGCTTGACATATAAAACTGATTTGATGGGATTTTCTTAACTAAACCGATGCCATGGGATAAAATAAATCTATACTTACTTTTGACTTTTCCAGCAAAGGTAAAAAAATCGGTTCTGATTTTTATCACATAACAAATCTTTAATGCCAAGCCTATAAATACCAAAACAAATCTGTAATTAATATCATTCTATTTCCAGCAAACATTAATTACCTTTGACTTTTCTGCCTACTATTTCTAGTAAATAGGATGACTTTTTATATAAGTATAGATTTCATATAATGCAAAGACTGAGATCATAAAAAAGAATCTTAAAAACTGAAACAATATATTTGCATAATTTAAAGCCATTAAGAAATCGATCTCTAAACCAGATTTGATTTTCAGAATATGTTTTTTCATTTCGAATTCCATACAAAATGGAATTCTTTCCAACCAATAGATGTCATAGCAAATATTAACTCTTAACTATTAGACTATTAGTACATACCGAGTAAATTGTGTACTGATTTTAGGAAGTTAAAATGATTCATGTTAGGTAATTTTACATTTTATGCATGTTGAACGGTGGATTTTAAATATTGTTTCATAGAATGTAAAAGTGTATTATATTATTTTTATGAGATGTTGAATTTAAAAATTAATAGAATTATTCTTCATAGGAATTTTAAATGTAACAATATTCTTTGGTATACACTACTAATAAAATCTATATTTAAAGTTTATATTTATTTTTTTACCGGAAAAAGTTTCTTAATTTAAGGAATCATATATCTTCAATCAGTCCACATCTATATACATTCTTCACAATTTTAAATCTTGAATTTGATGAGAATTCGTATCTATGAGTGCAAAATATGGTTTAACAAATTAATTTTTTATTATTATTCCAGCCATACTTCTTTATACGATTTTTTGTGAAAATACAAAAGTAAATTCTTAATTTTAAATCAGCCGTACATTAAAGAGTACAAATTTGTTGAAATTACAAAAGTAGTTTTTTATTTTTAAACAGACGTAAATTTAAATCAGTCATAAAAAAGTAATATTTGTTTACCATTTAAATATTAAATCAGCCATAATTAATGTTGTTTGTTTTAGTTGTCACGATTTTCTCCAAACTAAATTAACTGCCATGATTTAAGGGCAACATTTAATGCTGCTCTATTTTTAAGAGACATTAAATGTATTTGGCGGGAAAAACTTACTAAAAGTGTTAAATGATTAATCTTTTAATATAATGATAGATTCCATATATAATATTTAGCAAAATAACCAAATTCACCATTTTATTTGTACAAATACGAGAGGTGGCAGTGTTTATATAATTGTATTATATATGGATAATGGCGATATAATGGAATTGATGATGAAATTTAATGTGCAATTAAAAAGGCCATGTTTCTCTCTGTGAAATCCGCTCGGTGCTCGCCGACGACAATGGTTCCGGTGGGTAAGATGAAACCGATGCTTCCTTTTTGCGTTCCAACAAGGGAAATTGATCATCGTCAGGGGTCCTGTCGAGGTGAAATCTTCCATGGAGAAGGGAAATTGGTTTTGTATTGGGACCAGGGCGTTGTCCCCGAGCATGTTCACAATGTTGTTCTATTTTTCATTGTCCAGTTAAGCTTGGGGATGGCGGCCCCAATTAAGCTAGGGGAAGGTGGCGTCGTCTAAGGTTCCGATGCAGGACTTGATCGCGGCCTAGGAGGGGGGTGGGCCGGGGTCCTCGAATTCGATTTCGCCGGCATCAGGGAAATTAGTGTTTTTCAGATTTTTTTAATTAATAAACTCCATCAGTTAGGGTTGAAGGAATGTATATTTTTTGTTTAGAAACTGATGAGTTTTTGTAACTATTTGGCATGAGTTTTTGTAACTATTTGGTAGATAATTAGTAAAGGTGCTGATAAAATAACGAATCGTATTAATGCAAATATTTTCAGAGCACAAGGCATGTATGTAAATTAGCCTATTATCTTTGTTAGGCATTGTTACTGTTGTGGCTCAAATGACCTAGCTAACGGATGGCCCAATAATAAGTTTTCCTTGAGGCCCAATTTATTGACCCTATCTACTTGGCAGCCACTTCATACCTGACTCAATTGCTTTCCCCTCCTTTCTCTTTTCTCTTCCCTGCACGTAACATTCGAGTGAGATGGATTTTTGAATTATGCTCTTATCACTTGCGGGATTATTTCAATTGTAAGGATTTCCGATTCTTTCTTAACGTTCAAACCCCTTTCTTTTTGTCTTTAAAACTGATCCCTGGGGACTAAGAAAAATAAAAAGAGATGAGTTTCACTCTAAGAACTTGAATTTGCCCTTCAGATTCTATGTGAATCTAATTTTATTCTTTGAGGGTGAGCCGAGGCTTTCTTTTCTTCTATGTGAGTGAATCGGAAGACTGAAACCAAGGTCATTTACTTTTTGTGAGTGAACTTAGTTTCTTCCTCTTTGTGAGTAGGGTTTGGGAACTTGACGGGTAACATCGAAGCTTTGTGCAAAGGTGTGGTGTGCTACTGGAAATAGACGTGTCGGTGAATGTGTTGTCAGGTTGAAGCTAGTATCTAAGTTGTAATCTGGTGGGCATTTTGCATTAGGCCTGAGCTTGTTATACATCAACCAAGCGCTCTGATTTCGTCTCTAAAAACGGTGATTTTGTTCTCTTACGGTTTGTATTTATTTCAGTCAATTACTATTGCGAACAATTTATTTGTTATCTACTTTTCTGTTGTAGATATCTACTAGTTGCTTTTCGGGACTGATTGTTGCTGTGCGGGCTCGTTTCATTATTGTTCGAGCTCATGGAATTGCTATTCGGGTCCCTTAATTGTTTGCCCGGACAAACCGGGTGTTGTACGGTTTATTAGTTGCTGTTCAAGACTCACCGAGTGTTGTTCGGTACCACCGGGTGCTATTCGAGACCTACCAACTGCATTTAGGACCAATCAGAGCCAGCCCAGGTCTAGCGAGACGAGCTGGATGACCATTCAAAAGTGGTATCAGAGCCTGGCTCTTGTCAGGTTGTCTGCTCGCCGCCACAAGTAAGACGAGTTCCTTTCCTTAGGGCTCACTTTGGTAAATTAGTTGTAACGCCCCACTTTGATTTCAAAGAAATTCCGGACTTCCAGAAAAATCAGAATAATTTTTTCAAATTTATTTCAAACATTTGTGGCGTTACTCATATATTTCAAATTACTTCAACGGCATAACATCAACTTCATAACATAAATCATCTAACTCCCAAAACGGGATTCATAAATCCATAAATCCTCAATTCCCAAATCGGGCTCCCAAAACAAAACTCAAATTTGCAAGAAATAACAATGTCAACGGGGCATCTCCCCAATAGTGGTAACGCAAAACACTTCGACCGGCTTGAAATCAGCTTGTCTCCCTCTTCCTCGCCGGTAGAACGCAGCGTTCCTGCACAGAACTCTCACACCGGAGGGGTTTTCCGGTGAAGAGCCTCCGATGCTTAAGTCAGTATGTGTTTGTTCAATTTTCCAAAGTAAAGAATGGATAAATCGTAAGTCACAAGAAAAGACCCACTCCCATATATATAGGAGTGAGATACCTGCCCTAAAAACTGCCCGGCTTTGGTGAGCTGTCTTGCCCCTACTGCCCGTCCGTACACACATAGTGTGTGTGTGTGTCAGAGATGTCAGGGGTGGCTTTCGCCACTATCACTCTGCACCAATATATTCTCGCCACGTGTCCCTCTAAGCTGAGGGAGATTATTCCTCTGCGCAGGCCGTTGGGATCTTCCAACGTCATCCACGCGCCTTCTTGCGTTCACGCCACGCTCTAGACTGCTCTTTACCTGTTGAGTGCTCGATCTCCTCCCCTTTGGTCGATCCTCGATCAGTTCTGCTATTCTGCTCGATCTCCTCCCTTCTGGTCGATCCTCGACCAGTTCTGCTATTCTGCTCGATCTTCTTCTTTTTGGTCGATCATCCTTCTACCAATCCGGTTTTCTCCATTTCGAGGTTGCTTGACCGATGATGCAAACCGGTCCATTCCTCAATTATATAATATCCCATATCAAATAGTATCTCAATACTTCATAAATTCTCAGAGTTCGATAATTCATAAATCATAAATAGTCATAAATATAGCAGAAGCATAATCAATAAATAACCGGTCTCATAGACCGATTACCACTCGCTTAACTCCGCCGTTGTACCCGCATTGCATAACCTGAAACGTTAGTTTCAGGTGGGGATGAGCACAGTTGGAAATCGTAGTGCTCACCACTATGCAGTAAACATTAATCAATATATAAGAACAGTAATCATAAATAAGTCACGTATGGTCGCAGCATGTATACGAATCAATTAATTATTCCATCTCCTATCCCAGGGTCAACCCTCATGTGCACACCTACGCATAGACTATTGCTGATACTCGATTCGAATTCCAAAACCTACGAGTTGGTCTTACAACGATGCCCAGCCAGTAGAAGTAATCCACCCCGCCGACCAAGACCTACGAATTGGTCTTACAAACGTGGATCACCAGCCGAGGGCCCATGCCCCGGTCTTACGGCCATACATAAATAAAGGAGACTACCCATCGGGTACGTTCTATAGCTATGTGGATAACCGTTCGACGGCCTGTACAGCTCACATCGAAGGCTACATGGTTCACATGTATTCATTGATCATACCACAAATTTTACATTTATAACATTTACAGCATTGCGAATTTTAGAATAACAACCCATCTGGTTGACGTGATAATCACAAGTACGGGGGCTGAGGTTCAACACCTCAAAGAACCTACATTAAGTCAAGATACTAAGATCAACATCCTATCTTGACTTATAAAGGAAAACACAATCAGACTCAGCCGAACTTGATTCGACTAAGTTGGTCGTGAAGTCTTGTGGACTTTGGAACTCTTGGACTTAGACTCGACCAAACCATATATTGGAGTTCACACAATTTCAAATAAATGAGAATCAAAACAAGTCTCAAGAACAACAAGTGAACCGGTTTATAGCTTTTAACACAAAAACTACATTTTTGAAAGTACCAATCGATATATCACATAATCAGGTTGGTCACGTTGCCGAATGAGTTAGGTTATGAAATTTTAACTAAAACTTCACCTCCCAGAACTTAGTAAAACCACCAAGTTTCAGCCCCAAACTCAAAAGACACAATTTTATAAAATTCAAACAAGTTAACAGCAAAAACGAGCAAGAATTTAAAACCTAACATAACGAATGATTCAGCCTTTGAAATTTTTTTCCATGGAACGTCAGCATATGAAAAACAACATATAAAAATCTCAGCTTTAAACACTTAACATGCGAATTAATAAAATTCTAATAACAATCTGTAGCTTTCTAATTTTCATCAAAGCTGAACCCATATGAAGTCCAAAAATTCTGAAAATTTGTCACAACAAGCAAACATGCCAGAGACACAACATACTCGAATTTCAAAAGATTTGGATCACAACTCAATTAATTATGCAATAAACACGTTTCTGCCCAAAAATAAATTTAATTAATTAAATTAGCTACAGGATGAATAAAATTATAAAATTCTTACATGAGCCTTATATTCATCAAAGGACATAACCCTTATATTTTCATGGCAATCTGAGCAGAATACAATTTTTAACGAATTAAACACCAAAACAGCAATTTACGAGATCAAATAATTTATGCACGACTCAACAAGACTCGAATTTGTCCGAGGCCTTCACTTAAGACCAAAGACACGTTGTTCCAATTCCCACAGCGACTTAACACGTGTATACATGATCTCGTTCGAGTTCGCACGAACCGAAAAGATCGATACATATTTAAATTATAACGAGGCTCGACATATTCAAATCAATATCAACATACGATTATAGATAACACATTATATTAACACATATTACGAAAATAAACGAGACGTGGCTCGAGCCTAGGTACCATTCTCGGGAAAATCTCATAAAAACGGGACGAAAGACACGAACGGCGCGTCAAGGCGGCTCGCGGCGGCAGCAATATGCTCGACGGCTGCGCGCGGCTCGCGATAGGAGGACAGCGGGGCCTGAGGACGCCGGCTGCAACTGTTCGTTCGCGGAGGAGGGTCGGCGGGGTCGCTG